TTTGATTTCTTGACTATCGCTTCCATGATCATTTGGATCTAAGCACAGTGAAGTCTTAGACAACTTTAATCTTTTCTCCAAAGAGTCCTGCTATGGCTCTGTAGGATAATGCACTGGACCACAAGGTCGGTTTAAACCGCAAGGTTGGTGGTTGAGATTCACCAGCTGTTTCTTGGAAACCGTATACAGTCGGAACAGACTCGAAGGCATTTAACAATTACTGGTCCAGCAGTGGAGATTTTTGTTTTCTTTACGTTGAGGTGCAGTCCATACTGAAGGCTGTGCTCTTTGATCTTTATTATTAAGTATTTTAAGTCCTCTTCACTTTCTGCAAGCAAGGTTGTATCATCTGCATGTTGCATGCTGTTCATGAGTCTTCCTCCAGTCCTGATGCCATGTTCTTCAGATGACCCAGCTTCTTGGATTGTTTGCTCAGCTTACAGATTGAACAAGTATAGTGAAAGGATACAACTCCCGGGCACACACTTTTTCTGATTTAAAACTATTTAGTATCCCCTTGTTCCCTTTGAATGCCTGCCTATTGGTCTACATGCAGGTTTCTCATGAGCACAATTAAGTGTTCAGGAATACTCATTCTCTGCAGTGTTGCCCATAACTTGTCATGACCCTCAAAATCGAAAGCCTTTGCGTACTCAATAAAGCACAGGTAAACATCTTTCTGGTCATCTCTGCTTTCGGCAGAGACCCATCAATAAGGCACAGGTAAGTATCTTTTTGGTATTCTCTGCTTTCAGCAAAGATCCATCCAACGTCAGCAATGATAGTCCTTATTCCATGTCCTCTTCTGAAACCACCTTGAATTATTTGCAGCTCCCTGTGAATGTACTTCTGCAACCATGTCTGCATTATCTTCAGCCAAATTTTACTTGCTTGTGATATTGTTTGATATCAAACAAGTAATATTATTTGCTAACTTCTGCATTGTATTGGGTCACCTTTCTTTGGACTGAGCACAAATATGGATCTTTCCCATATTTCTTGACATACATGGGTGAGCAAGCCCCTTCTGAGCTGCAGCCGTTTATTTGAAACGTTTCAATTTGTATTCCGTCAATTCCTTGACCCTTTGTTTTGTCGTCGTTTATTTTTTTCAGTGCTTTCAATACAGCTTGGATTTTTTCCTTCAGTACCAGCAGATCTTAATCATATGCTGCCTTTTGAAATGGTTGAACATTGACCAGTTCTTTTTGTGTGTCTTCATTACGTTTTCTTTTGATTTCTTCCCGAATCATATAATCTTTCGCCCATATTGGAAGCTGAGGCTTGAATTTTTTCTTTGTTCTTTTAGCTTTGGAAATGCTGAGCATTTTCTACACTTTTGGTTTTCTGACTCCAGGTCTTTGCACATTTTATGATAATACTTTGTTTTCTCAAACTGCCCTTTGGAATTTTTGTTCAGCTAAGCTCTTTTACTTACTCATTTGTTCATTCACTTTAGCTTTTCTACATTCAAGAGCAAGTTTCATAGTCTCTTCTGACATCCATTTTGGTCTTTCTTCCTTTCCTGTCTTTTTAATGATCTCTTGCTTGCTTTCTGTGTGATGTTCTTGATGTCCCACAACTCCTCTGGTTTGTTTATCAGAGTTGAATGTGCTAAATCTGTTCTTCAGATGATCTCTAAATTCAGGTGGGTTATGTTCATGGTCATATTTTGGCTCACATGGACTTGTTTTAATTTTCTTCAGCTTCAGCCTGAACTTGCATATGAGCAACTGATGATCTGTTCCACAGTCTGCTCCTGGCTTTGTTTTGGCTGATGATACAGAGCTTTTCCATCTTTTCCTTCTACAGATGTAGTCAATTTGATTTCTCTGTATTCCGCCTGGTGAGGTCCATGGGTATAGTCATCTTTTATGTTGTTTCAAAAAGGTATTTGCCATGAAGAAGTGATTGGTTTTGTGAAATTCAGTTATAGGACCTCCAGCATCATTTCTCTCACCAAGTCCGTGTTTTCTAACTACTGATCATTCCTTTTAGTCTCCAACTTTTGCATCCAATCACTGTAATTAATGATGCATCTTGAGTGCATGCATATTTGATCAATTTCAGACGGAAGAATTTGGTAGAATTCTTGTTTCATCATTACTGACTTTAGTGGTTGGTACGTAAATTTGAGTAATAGTGGTATTAACTGATCTCCCTTATAGACATAATGGACGTTAGACAGCATTGTACTTCAAGAGAGATCTTGAAATACTCTTTGGCAATGAATGCAGCGCCCTTCCTCTTCAGTTTGTTGTTTCTGCTTTAGAAAACCTTGTGCTTGCCTGATTCAGAATAGCCAGTAGGAGTCCATTTCAGCTCCGTATTGCCTAGGATACCAAGCTTTATGAGTTACGTTTTATTTTCGAGAGCTTCCAATTTTCCTAGATTCATACTTCAAACATTCCTTGTTCCAGTTATTAATGAATTTTTGTAGCTGTTTCTTCTTATTTTGAGTTGTGACCTGTCAGACATTGAAGGTCCCAAAGGCTGGTCTTCATTAATGTCACGTCTGCCTTCAGGAGGCTGCTCTCCCCCAGTTGTATTTTGAGTGCCTTCCAACCTGAGGGGCTCATCTTCCTGCACTCTTACCTCACAGTGTCCTGCTGCTGTCCATAAGGTTTTCACTGGCTGGCCGTTAAGAAGTGATTTGCTTCTCGTGTTTCCTTGTCTTAGTCTGGAGGCTCAGCTGAAATCTGTCCACCATGGGGGACCCTGATGGTATTTAAGATACTGGTGACATAGCTTCCAGCATCACAGCCACACAGCAGCCATCATGAGTTACTGTGGCACACCTGGGAGTGGTGGTTGGTGATTTTAACGTTCACTTTGAGCCATTGATGGAGCCATGAGACTGAACATCAGTACAGACACGGTCATCTCAGTAGTCTCCGCCCGCACTCAACATGGGAAGGACCTGCTTTCTTTCCAACTGTGCGCTGTGTTCACCAAGATAAACCATGTGCTGGGCTCTAAGGGACTTGCACACAGTGTGTTGTCTCACTACAACAAAATTAAATCAGAGGCCAGAACATTAAGATCTGTACGAAAAGTCCAAATGTTTTGAAATGAACACATCCAAATAATCATTTTGTTAACAAGGAAGTTACAAGACCAATTAGAAAATATTTTGGACCCAATGGTAATGAAGATACAATTTATCAAAATCTGTGGGATTAAAGTTAGGCAGTATGCAGAGGAAATGCTTATGTTGGCAAGGAAGGACGGCCTAAGGTTCTGTGTTAGGACACGAGTAGAAGACTGTCCATCCTGAGTAAGTAGAAAGCAGGACAAAATGAAAAAGAAGGACAGAAGTCAATGCAGTAGAGAAAGAAGAGTAGAGAAACTTAGCAAAGGTAAGAGTTGCTTCTTTCAAAAGATCTGTCAAATTGATAAACCCCTGGCTAGACTGATCAAGCAGAAAAAGAAGGTAAACTCAAACCACCAATACAAAACACAGAGTGGATGTCACATGAATCTCCAGTAATCTGAAGCCTTGATAGAGGGGATTGACTTTCTGCAAGGCCTACTGCCCAGGGTGGTGCCAGCAATGCCCCCACCATGGGACATCTCCTCTGGCCTCCTTGATCTTCTTGTGCCCTGCTCCTTTTCCTCCTGGGGCTGGCTGGATCATGTTTCTGTGGACCATGATGGGCCTGTGTTTGCATGCCTTTCTCCACTGGTAGGGTTTGGTGAGAGGGCTCCTGCCAGGTTCATCTCTGCACCTCTAGCCTCTCCTCTAGTGCTTGGTGCATTTGGCTTTGGGATGAGTGTTCTTAGGGGAAACGATTTGACTTCCAAATAACTGAATCAGGAATGAGGTTCAGGATCAGTTTTTTTTTTTTTCAAATTGGCGTGGGTGACTTAAAATGGTTGAAAAATTGAGAATTTTGAATATTCTTCATTATTTTTAGAAATATGAGGGTGCTTGAAAGATTTGTTGGAAAAATTGCATTATCTTTTTAGTTTTCCACAAAATTTTTGAAGGCCCCCTCATGCTTTACATCTCACTGGGGATCAACTATTTTAGAGGTTGTCGAAGCAAGAAATGAAGTACATGTTAGGGAGTTTGACTCTTCTGTGAAGTGAAAGTGTGTTGTCATAATGACTATGCTTTGTCTTAGTATCATAGTAAGACATTTATTATATCAGGTGAATTGTTTACAAGTGAGTAAATACACGGTCTTAGATCTTTATGTTTGTAGAGTAAATGTATTTACTTTATGGACATGAAGAAGTGATCCCTTGGTTTTGAGCACTGTATGGCATTTTTTTGTTCTCAGGTCTTTCCTTCTTCAGTGCCCTCTAGGAAAGACAATTTAGAATTAATAATTGTATTCCATCTTTTATCGCAGTGGTACTTTGAAGAACTCTGCCTATGATCGTTGTCTCGGGCTTTTTCTAAGTTTAGAGGAGTCCATTGATGACAGTGAGGGTGTTTCCATGTTAACTTGAGAACTTGTATAGAGTGGGTGATGAACCAGTGTTTACACTGTGAGCAAGGAACTGGATGACTTGTCCCTTTCTCTGGTGAAGTCACCAAGGCGATTTAATGTGTTCTAAGAAAGATGAGGCTTTCTACTCCCGTAAAGATTTACACCCTCGGAAACCCTGTACAGGGTCGCTATGAGTCGGTTCCGACTCCACGGCACATAACAACAACAACAATTTGTACTTGAACTTGTAGTTAAGGTTCATTTTATTGTTTAATCTTTATGGAATTAGTTTTCTTTCTCAGCTATCATAGGCCCTTTCCCCCAATTGAAAACATTTGAATTACTTCATTAAATGTTTCACAAGTAAAATTTGAGAAAAATACTTGGAGGTTGTTAATTGAGAAATCGTACATGAAATTTGTAAAATCTTTAAGACTATAGCTAATCAAAAATCGAGTAGAAAGAAATTCTATGAAGTGTAAGATATGCCTGTAATGTAGATAATACCATGTCTGTTTTTGTTACATTTCTAGTAACCAAACTTTCTCCTTTTTCTTTTAGGTTCTTGGTTATTACAGACCATTTTCTGAAAAACTCGGAATTGGTAAAAGCCATGTATGCAAAACTGAGCAATCAGGAAAGGTAACTCCAGAAACCAATGTGGTTTTGAGTAGTTAGCCTTCTGTGTAGAGTAGCCTGTACACACGATTGGAAGTTGGTGTGCCTCCGTAGCTGGCACGCATTCTCTAACACATGTTCCTGTGTCGGGAATGGTTTTAAATTGGTTAGTTATTGTTACCACTTAGCCACGTGGACAATGTGGTTGATGTATGTTGACCTGCAGAATCCCAGTTGGCGCCATTATTCAGTGAAGGCAGATTGAGCAACAACAGAAAACATCCGAAGAGCAGAACTTTCTGCTTGGGCCTTGATGTTGTGTTAGTAGTCCAGGGGACCAGAGTCCACGGGATCGGAGGGGCCTCCCCCAGCAGTGCACCTGAGGTGTGCCCATCGGTTGGTTCACTGTTGTCATGACTTGAGACTTAGGGGGCTAGGTTTCTGGTTTCCCTAAAGCTCATTCCAACTAAAGGAAAATGTATCCTGCCCATGACCTCACTGCCTTGTCAGCAGTACAGTGAGCCAGGAGTGTAGATATGTATTAAAAAATGACATGTATGTTGTTGTTGGCGGTGATGGTGGTGGCTGTGTGCTGCCGAGTCGGTTCAGACTCCTAGTGAAGCCTGGATAGGGTTTCTGAAGATGTGAACCTTGATGGGAGCAGAAAGCTGCATCTTTCTCCTGTGGAGGGACTGTACACTCAGATGACTGCCCTTGCCTTTAGCAGCCCAGCTCAGAGTCCACTGAACTCCCAGGGCGCCTGTTGGTAAGTGCTGTCAAGTTGCTTCCAACTCATAGCGACCCTGTGCAGGTTTCTGTGGAGCATCTGGTGGGTTTGAAATGCCTTGCGGTTAGGAGTCCAGTGCTTACTCTACAGTGCCGCAGCAGGACTCCCATCTCCATCGGAAACATTTTGACCAAATTTACAGACAAATTTAGAGAACAGAATGTTTTGTTTTTGTTTTTTTTTTCCCCTCTAAATCACAGATCTAAAGATCAGAAACTTAGAGATGTTGACATTTTATTAAGTCACATTTTTATAATTGCGATGGTTTTGATATAGGCTTTTTTTCTTTGAGGGGTGTTTATTTATTAAGTTTTTATTGTGAACTGGGTGATAGTTTACATGGAGAACATCGACTTTACACCATTGTTTCATTGCAATGATTACAATCTCCTACGTGCATTATAATTTCAACAGTATTTGCTTCTATTCCCTTTGGTTTTTTGCCGGGGGGTGGGGGGGGTGGAGGAAGGGATGTATACAGAAACACTGAAGGAATATATAATAATTTAAACAACCAAAGGGCACATTGCGCAAGCCTGTCTCCTGGCCGCCAGCATGCAGCCCCTCTTTTTCTATGAGTCCAGAGTACTCACCTGCTCCCTCTCTCCACGTCTTCATCTCTGCCTCTTCAAATAGTTTTTGACTGTGTATTTGGGTTCCAATAATTAAATTTTATGTAATCCTTTGTAAGCTTTTCATGATATTAAAAATTATATAAGTATGTTTAACAAAAAAGAAAAATTAATGCTGTCAAAGCCAAAGCCACTTGATGTATCAAGTTTATAAATTCAATATTTCTCCCTTCCCTCTGCTCTCTCCCACATGTGTGCTTCTGTTGCAGAAAAAGAATGATTTGTTGTTTTTTGACCCCAAATAGCTAACGTGATGGATAGTGCTATAGATGAAAGCAGCTCTGGTAGTGTCGGGGTTACAAATCGGGCTGCGAACCTCAGGGTCAGCACTTCGAAACTACCAGCTGCTGTGTGGGGGAAAGATGAAGCTTTCTGCTCTTGTAAAGATTTGCAGTCTCAGAAAGAATTTGCAGGCTCACTATGAGTTGGAACCGACTCCACGGCTCACCCCTACCAGCACCAGCACCACTGCAGATGAGGACATGATTTGCAATCAGGTGCAGCTGAAGAGACAGGATGCTTTCTAATATTCAATTTAGACTTTCCATAGTCTTTCTTTTTTTTTTTTTTGCATTATAGATAATTGATTTTTTTTTTTTTTTAACTTTTCTATTGGAAATTGAATGGTTTACAGAACATATCATCAGTTTTACATTGAGCACATATTACACTTCATTTCATGATTTCAAGCCCCTTAATGGAACATCACTTGTTCCATTTCCTCCCTGTGATTCTTGTTTCCATTCTCCCTTCTTTCCCAACTCTTCTGGATTTTATCCTTTGCATCTTGAATGGTTGACCCTTCCGTGGTGTGCATAGCTCAGTAGTGGTGGTGTTCTCCCCTCCAGATACTGATCTACTGCTTGGCTGAAAATTAGAGCTACATGGTGAGTTCAGTTCCTGACGGAAGTCTCTCTGACAATAAGCCTGGCCTTTTGTGTCGTTTTGAGTTGTGTTCCACATTTTCTCCCACTCGGTGCTAGCCCTCCTGATGTGAACCCTGTCAGAGCAGTTGGCAGTGGTAAAGAGCATCCTCTAGTTCTTCTGGTCTCATGGTGTCATGGACACTGATGGTCACACATTTCATGAGTCCAAGCATCTTCAGTGTACATGCCTCTTCTTTGCTCTTCCTAGCCCCTGGGGGGTGGAGTTTCTGGAGGGGCAGGTGATCTGGGATAAGGTGGAGGCTGCTCTTCACTGTCTCGGAGTATACCGGAACCACAGGTGCCTCCCCTGGATCCAGCTGCCACCACCTGACCACGATTCATGGAGCTCCGTCAGGTTGCACATCTGCCCCTTCGCTCTCACTGTCACTCTTGTTCTGGGACGTGGGCAGCACAGTGGGTTCCAGGAACCTGGCTTCAGCTGGGTCCGCAGTGCCACGTGCTCATGTGACCTCCGGCATACCCTCATCGCATTCGCTGATCAAATCCACAAACACAGAGTCCAGACTGACACTCTGCGGGACCGACAGCCCCATCTCCTCACCAGCTCCGCCAGTGCACAGTCGGCACTCAGACACCCGCCTCAACTCATCTCACCCGAGTTTCCATATTCTTACCAAATCACCTGTTCTGAGCTGCCCATGACATGACCGAATGCGGCTGGTGCACTGAAGACATCCGTTTTTGTTTCTGCAAACCAGGAAGGTACTTACTGTGTCCATGCAAGTTTCGCTTCCCCCAGCTTGTTTAAGAAGTGCCACAGCTTCCGACGTTGTGGTCACACAGTGTGTGGTAGCACATCACACCTCTGCTTGCCTCTCCCATGTCAGACTGTCAGCTCCGTGAGGACAAGGCGTCACATTTTCTAGTGCTTGCTTCCACACAGTAGGTGCTCCGAATTACCAAAAGGGAAGACGTGTTGAATGAAGTGACTGCAGTCAGTCCTGCCTTTACGTAGACGGCATACAGCTCGTGCTCTGTCAGGGCCGCTGCTGAGCTTGGAGGGCGCCACCTCTTCTTCACTGGTGCCGTGGCATTGTCTCCTTGTTTGTGTGTTCTTGGAGAATAGCTGTCAGATGATGAAGTGCCAGTCTTAAAGCTTTTGAAACCCTGGAAAAGTGTCTAAAAGGCGTTGTTAGGGCAGAGAATGCTGCCAGGGGCCAGGGTTGGATGTGAAGCAAAGCTCCCTAGGGCTGCCTCCCCTACCCCCACCCCAGGGGCTCTGCTCCCAGCATAGCTGTCCTGCCTTGAGCTCTCTGTCCTTTATCTCCTGACCAGCCATCAGTCTTCAGTCAGCAGATAAGAGTCGTGGGCTCCAAAGTCGGGTGTGTAAGACTACAGTCAGAAAAGACTAGAACATTTACTTCAGTTTCTTCGTTAGCTGAGAAGAAACCCCAGAACTCCAGCTCTATTGATATTTTCTGTATCTTTTCCTATATGGTGCTGGACTGTGAGTTTCCCGTGCAGTGTGATGCAAGGTGATGGACGCGTTTCTCCATCAGAAAGTCGGAGACTGCTGGACGACAGTGTGCTGCGGCTCGGTCCGCTGCTCCTGTGGCTCTTCACCCTGTCAGTCCTGTTGGATAGCTTTTGCATTTGTGGAGTTCCTGTGGTGTGTGTGCTGAACACGATACCAGAGCTGCCCTGTCCACAAGTATTCAGGAAAGGGCTCCTGCTTCTTCGAGAGCTCCATTGGCCATGTTGGTGAGAGCACTCTTGTCATTTTGGAGGATGTCTGTCAGACACAGGGTTGCAGTCTCTAACTTTCAGGGACAACTTAAGTCGTCCTCTGTCCACACTGTTAGTGTCTGTCCACACTGTTAATGGGGGCCAGAACACCAGGGCAACACAGCTTAGTGGCTTGAGGAATGGAAGATAGGAAAGGCTGTGGCACCCCTGGACACCAGATGTTAGTTAGGCCCCCTCTAGGCATAGCAAGCTGTTAGGGTGGCACATTCTAGGAGAAGACCAACTCTTCAAAATGCTTATTTTCTGTGAGACTATGTGGCAACTTGGAATTTCAACATTTAACTGATCACATCCAACACCTACAAAAAGAAATCACTTAAGTCCCTCCTGTGGAGTCCTGGTGTGGCACTGTAGGTTAAGCGCTCCACCTCATGGTCGATTTGAACCGCAAGGTTCACACTCACCAGCCGCTCATGGAAACCCTATGGTGGTGGTTATGTGCCATGAAGTCGGTTCCGACTCGTAACGACCTTGTATAGAGTTTCTGAGGCTAAATCTTTGCAGGAGCAGAAAGCCTCCTCTTTCTCCTGCGGAACAGCTGGTAGTTTCGAACTGCTGACCTTGACGTTTGCAGCTTGACTCACTACCAGAGCTCCTCCAGAAACCTTATACAGGGTCACTATGAGTCAGAACAGACTTGATGACACTTAACCACACCACCACCAAGTCCCACCTGTTGTGCATTTAGTACTATGCGTACTGATTGCTTCCATAGGATGGCACTCACTAAGAACATGTGAAAACCTATAGGTGTGTTTAGTTACCGTGTCTAACTCTTGTTAAATCAGCCACTGCTTTAAGCAAGGTGCGGTTTTAACCCCATCATGTCAACCCCCAGAAGACTGGCATCATTATTATCCTTGGCGGATCCATCGGGTAAGCACTAGACTGACTGCAAACCATGAGGTCGGTGGTTTGAGCCCATCTGCCACTCCATGGGGAAAAGATTGAGGCTTCCTGCTCTTGCAGAGATTTTAAACCCTCAGAAACCTCATTCAGAGTCCCGGTGAGTAGGAGCTGACTTGATGGCACTTAGCGACAACAAGCACTTGGTAAGTGTGTGCGTTGAGTACGGGAGCTTAAGAAGCTTGCCCAGGAGCACACAGCCATTGGTGGCAGAGCCAGGTGGTCTGACTGCAGTCTGTGCTGATCACTACACCACTGTTGGCAGCAAACTGCCGTTTCTGTTAGGTCACACTTGTGTGATGTGGGAAAAACGTCCCCACCCACTGGTACATGACCTGAGAGCCTCCACAGTGGGTCCCTTCAGAGAAATGATCATTCTTTCATCTTGTTCCTTTTTCCTGTCACTCTTAACAGTGGTGGCAGTACAAACACAGAATCGTGCATGTGACAGTTTTGATAAGTGAATGAAGAAAGGGATAACTTCATTTAAGCTGTCAGCCTCACTGGGAGATTGGTTTTACTGGAGGTGGGTCTTGGCAGTTCATAATATCTGTGTAATATGACCTCATTACTGCAGAACCTTCTTTTTCACGAAACAGTGACCAAAAATATTCTAGCTCCAGACTGGTACTTTTGTTCCTGGCACCCTCTGAATTACACACACACACGCATGCACACACACACACAGAAGCAATTTAATGGTACTAGCAACTTTGGGGATCTATCTTGACCCCTTGGAGCAGAGTTATCAGCAGAAGGACTGTGGAAAGGAACGAGGTGACAGGCCCTTTGTGGTTTTCCTCCCTATGACGTCTCAGGAAGGTATTTGTGCAGTGTTTTTCAGGAGGTGCTTCTCTCTGACGTCACAGAGCCCTTGGGGGAGGTGTCAGGCAGCACAGGGTGGGTAGAGGGCCCAGAGAGCAGCGCGAGGGAGCAGGAGCGCTTGCTTGTGGTCCTGGCAGTAAGAGGTACCTTTGGCTTGAGCCCACAGGAGGGGGCAGGCTTTTGCCAGGACGTGGGCTTCTCCGGCACCCGAAGGAGGCCCTGGGGATGTTTTGCGAACAGTCTTGGTTGGACGTGATCGCGTTTGTGGAGAGCAGTAGGGAATCACTGAGCAGAGTGACCAGGGCTAGAGATGAAGCTGTGTCGGACCCACGCGGGAACAGTTCTGCTCTGGCCTGGAGGGGCACTCGGAGTCTGAATTTACTTGATAGCCGTGTGGGTGGGTTGGGTTTGGGTGGTCCGCTGGGTCCCAGCACCTGTCCTGAGTGTGGGTGGCTAATAACCTGTCACTTGCATGCATGCACTTAAGGTCTATGCAAATTCTAAAGCGCTTTGCTGGTGCTAGTTCTGTTGTTTAGTGTCCCAATCAGATTGAGTCCTGCACCTACGGCCTGGTAGCTTGTTTGGGCACATCACTTGGTAATGACATTTTGGATCCAGACTCCAAATCAACTGACTTGGTATGATTCAGCACGAAAGGCTCCCTCCCAGTGAGCTAGAGTGACTGTTGGCACAGCTGCTCTTGGTGCAGAGCTTTTGTAGTATACAGGCTTAGAGTCGGGAGGTGCCCCTGAGAACAGCCCACGGATGCACCTCTCAGTTCCTGTGGACAACTTAGCTCAACTTTCTGAGACTCAGTTTTATCTTGAAAATGGGTTCACAATAGTTGCCACCCTAAGAAACTGTTGTGATAACTAACTGCACTGTGTTTGGCATGCAGTTCGCCCTCAGTGAATGTGAGCTGTTGCCGTTTCTGGTTCCATGTTGCTGCTGTTCCAACCACACCTGCTCCTGACTTAGGAGCTCATTACTGAACGTTCTGGAGCCCTGGTGTGGCACTGTGGGTTAATGCGCCAGACTGTAAAGCCATTTATACATGTGGAGGAGCTCAAATGTAAAGTCACGTTTGTTGGAGATGCCGCACCTTGAATTTGAATTGCAAGCAGTTTCTCTCCAGACTCCCGTCCTAGAATGCCCATAAAACATACTGCTCGTTCGCTTCACCCCTCCCTTCTCTCTTTGCCTGTCACTCCAACCCTACCATAAAAATAACCACTTCAGGATGCTACAAGTGTGGCTTTGAAAATTGTGGCCTGCATCAACTTGTTTGTAACTTTAAATGCAAGTTTTTGCTGAAGTCTTCCACATACTCATCGCTGTCAGTTTTTTCTAAAGTATTTATTCCAGTTTCTAGGACAGAGTATGTAAATGTTTCTTCTACTCAGACATGAACTAGAAGTAGCAGGCTAGTAACAGTCAGTGGTTGGGAGGGTGGATGTGGAAGCTGGACCTGGTCAGCCAAGGGGAGCAGCCAGACTTTCACCTCAGGTGTAAGAATTTCATACAGCCAGTCTCTGACCAGGAGCCCTGGCAGTGTGATGGTTAGGTGCTTATCTGCTAAGTGATGAGTTGGTAGTTGGGACCGACCCCGGAGTTCCTGGTTATCTGTTCCCATGACAGGTACAACCACAGAGCCCTATGGGGCAGTTCACCTCTGGTGTCTAGCCTCTTGAGCTGGACCTTTTCTGTTTTTGCATCCTAGAGCCTGACAACTAACTCAGTGAGTGAATAGCTTTTGTTAGACAACTCCTACCCAGGTGTTCTGGGACTCCCTGCCCTGACCTCTTCCCAGACTGGAGGAGGGGCATCGTGGCATTCTGCATCGACGCTGCTCTTGTTGAGTGCCGTCAAATGGGTTCTGACTCCAGAGCGAACCTGTCTGGGGTTTCAAGGAGCAGCTGGTGGGTTTGAACCACCAACCTCTTGGTCAGCAGTCCAGTGCTTATCTTACAGCCCCACATCAGAAGCCCCCCTCCACATTTATAGCCCCTTTTAATTCATGTGTTTTCTGTTACAGGAAGGGGGGTGGTGGTGCTGTTGATGTACCGTGGAGTTGGTTCTGACCCATAGCGACCCTGTACAGGGTTTCCGAGGCTGTAAATCTTTACGGGAGCAGAAAGCCTCGTCTTTCTCCCGCCGAACGGCTGGTAGTTTCGAACTGCTGACCTTGAGGTTAGCCCGACGTATAAGCACTATGCTACCAGAGCTTCTTAGAAAGGGGAGGTAGGAAATGTAAAATACAATCAAGCAATTTGGAAAACCCCTGTGTATTTGAACTATGACTCACTAGATGATCCTGTGTGATTCCTCTCTCTTTGGAGAAGGATGGTGGATGGTGATGACCAGAAGTGGGTTGGATTGAAGAGCTGGATGGGGCCTCTGGTGCCTAGGCCTTGTCTAGGAGCTGTGGGCTCACTCTTTAACACGGTTACTGTTCGCTATCACTGAGCTGGCCCACGACTCACAGGCACCTCACGGACAAAGAACGAAATGGCCCCCCCTGGCCCTGTACCGTTCCCACGACAGCTTTCACATGGGGCTCTCCTTGACTGGGGTTTGGAAGTAGTTCACTAGCTCGCTCTTCCTAGTCTGTCGTAATCTGGAAACCCTGCTGAGCCTGTTTAGCATCAGTCTCCACTAGCAGATGGATGGGTGAGGGGGAGGCTGTACAAGAGGTGACTTACCCAGGATCTACCCCCGAGAAGGTGAGCATTCTACCACTGAGTTACCTCTGCCCCATACACCCAGGATCTTATCACATAGCCTCCTGGTATGGCACTATAGGATCAGCACAGGACTGCATACCACAAGGTCAGCAGTTCAAACCTACCAGCTGCACCTATACAAGGTCTCTGTGAGTCAGAACCAACTCAGTGGCACTTAACAACAACAACCACACAGCACCAGGCTATGGTGTGAGCCCACCAGTCACTCCACAGGAGAAAGATGAGACTTTGTGCTCCTCCAAGCCTCAGAAAGCCTCAGAAACTGTGTCCAGAGTCTCTGTGAGTTGGAACCGACTTGTAGATGCTTAACAACAGTCCCATTGAAGATGAGCATTCTACCGCTGAGTTACCACTGCCCCATCAAACCAGGTGTCAACAAATCAGCTGACTCATGGCACCCTCGTGTGTGTCAGGGTGGAACTGTGCTCTGAGGGTTTTCATTGGCCAACTTTCTGGAAGTAGATTGCCAAGCCTTTCTTCCAAGGCACCACTGGGTAGACTTGAACCTCTAACCTTTCAGTTAGAAGCTGAATATGTTAACTGTTTACACCACCCAAACCAAGGCTGATTTACCATCTTTAGTGAGAAGCTTAAGGTGTCTTGGTAGTGCAGTGGTTCAGTGCTTGGCTTGGGGTTCAAATCCCCCCAGCTGCTCCACGCAGAAAAGACTTGCTGAGCTGCGCCTGTCGAGATTGCACCTAGGAAACCCTTTGGGGCAGTTCTCTGTTTGAGGGGGGTGTCACTATACGTTGTTGAGGGTCGCTGTAGACGCCACAGCACACGACATGGGGGATGCTTAGTGACAGCACTTGCCTCGGCAGTTTTTGCAGATTAAAGGAGTCCTTGTGTGGCATTGCACAATAAACACTGGAATGCTATCCATGAGGTCGCTGGTTCAAACCCACCAACTGCTCCTCAGAAACCCTGTGCAGGGTCACTGAGTCAGAACCGACTTGACGGCACTTCACAACAATAAACGAGAACTTTACTGTAAAAGGCTTAGCCCCGTAGTGCATAGTGCATAAATGTTAACCATCTAAGTTGGCTGTTGTTAATATTGTTGTAGATGTATTTGTACAAATTGCAAACTGACAAATTATTTCAGAAAAGTTGAATTATTAGCATTCTGGAAGTAAAAGCATCTAAAAGACACATCAGACAATTCTAGTTTCTGTAGCCAAGTCACAGCAAAGAAGCCATGATTTTAAAAACTACCTAATTAACAATCTTACAAACAAGGTAAAAACTGTTTTAAAATTTTCTCTGTAAATATTGTTAGCATTGTACAGTTTTACTAAGACATACTCATGTAGGAATCTCTTTTGACTTACAGGGTGACGTTTCTAGACCTGATGATAACCAAAATTGTGGGTGATGATCCACTGACCGAGGACGACATTCCTGTGTTCCTGAGCCACGCAGAGCTGATTGCTGATACTTTCGTGAATGACTGCAGGAACGTGCTTAAATTGACCTCAGAGCATCAAACCGAGGATGAGGTAAGACATTCCCAACTGAGAGAAGGGAGTCAGGTCCTGGAACTCAGCCAGATCTTCAGTTAGAATTCATTGGTCAAAGATTTGAAAAAAAAATTACACAAGTAATGTAGCTTTACTTTAGATTAGTTAGAGAACACAAATGTGAAAGAAAATACCCTGGTTTCTACCATCATGAGTAAACGACATAAAAAATCTGGGCAATGTATTTTTCTAGTCAGATAAAAGTATGATACGTTTGCATGCGCTGTTGTTAGGTGTTGTTGAGTTGGTTCCAACTCCTAGTGACCCTCTGCTCAGCAGAATGAAACACTGCCTGGTCATGGGCTGTTCTCACCATGGTTACCTTTGAGCTTGTTGCTTCCACCATGTCAATCTCTTTGGGGTTCTTCCTCTTTTTCACTGACCCTCCACTTTATCAAGCATGGTGTCCTTCTCCAGGGGCTGGTCCCTCCTGACAACATCTCCAAAGTACAGGAGACGAAATCTCCCCATCCTGGCTTCTAAAGAACATTCTGACTACGTCTTCCAACACAGATTTGTTTGTCCTTCTGACAGTCCATGGTACTTTCAGTATTCTTCAGCATCATAAATCCAATACATCGATTCTTCTGCGGTCTTCCTTATTCATTGTCCAACTTTTACATGTAGATGAGGTAATTGAAAATAGCATGGCTTGGGTCAGGCACACCTTAGTCCTCAAACTGACATCTTTGCTCTTTAACACTTTAATACATATATATGTTACAAAAATAAAATCATTCTTTGCAATCTATTTGTGAACTGCGTGTTTTCTTCTCCTGTTTAATAGGACAGGACTTTTTTCCTAAGACGTGCCCCCTTTTTAAAAAGAATATAAGCCCCAATGAGGGCAGGAATTCTTGACTATTATGTTCCTAGAACATTGCAGACATTTTGCAAGTATTTGCAGAGTGATTGAATAAAGAGATACTGTCAATGCCATTGTAAAATGCCAACGTAGCTTTCCCAGGACATAGTTTAACTGTAATTTATCTACTCTCTAAAATTGGACATGTTGTTGTTAACTGCCATTGAGTTGGTTCCGACTCACAGCGACCCTGTATAGGGTTTCTGAGGAGCAGCTGGTGGGTTTGAACTGCCACCCTTGTGGTTTGCAGTCCAGTGCTGATCCACAGCGCCACACCTGTTTCTTATTTTTACGTACTATAATTAGTGCTGTGGTATCTGTGTTTATAGTTGAATCATTGCACATTTCAATAGTTGTTAATCTAGGACCTAATCTTAGAAGGTGAAATTATTGGGCTTTGGCTACACGTTTCCAAGTTGCTTTCCAGTATGTTATCCATTTGGAAAACTGAACACCAAATGTCCCACCCGCAGCACTCTCCTCCACTGGATTTGGTAATTCATTGCAGACTCACTCGGCACTCAGACAGCATTCTAACAGTAAATGTGGCTCCCTAGGAAAGGTAATGGGTCAGGACCAGAGATGCTCAGGGAATAGACAGCATTCTCACGGTAAATGCGGCTCCCTAGGATATAGTCCTTTGATCAGGATACCTTTCTCAGCCGTGTCTGCCTTTCTTTTTTTTTTCTTTTAAACTTTTTATTGTGAATTCAGTGAAGGTTTACAGAGCAGGTCTTCACTTTGACATTCAACAAACCATGTATTTTGCTTCACTACATGGTTGCAGTCCCCTCCATGCACCAACAGTTAACAGCATTGACCTCTATTCACTTTAACCACTGCATTCCTCCCTGTGTCTCCTGCCACCTCCATCTTTCCTCTGCCAACCTTCCTCCCATTGTAGATTTCCTGCCCTGTCACCCATGTCAATGCATGTCTAGCCTCTAGTGCATGAATCATTTCCTCCTTCCCCCAAAACCATCATAGATTGTTTCTTTTATCAAGAAACCTGCCCCCTCTTATGTTTTTGATGTACCAAAAAACACAAAAATACGCAGTGATATATCATCGTTTAAACAACCAAAGGGGGCGCATTCTGTAAGCCTGCCTCCTGGCCGCCAGCACACAGCTTTTCTCTTTCCATGAGTCTGGAGTCCTCAGCTGCTCCCTCTCTCCATGCCATCACCTTTGCCTCCATCTCTACTGTTGCTGCTTCTCTGGTTAGGGTCCCGCATTCCACTCATGCTTTTCTCCTTTGATCGTCCTAGGATCCTCTGTTCCTGGACTGTAAAATTAACTACTCCCCCTTTTTTGTTAAAAAAAACTTCTACCTTTATAGTTGTGACAGTCACAATTAGTCATGGTAACAGTTACTCACTATTGAATCATAAGAATCTTTTCCCCATCTCTTTTCATCCAATCCATCTGAAAACGATTCAGTGGGGACTCTCCCTTCCCCGCACACTCTTAAACTCCCTCTTGAAAACTTGTAAGCCAGTCACTTCATGCCTTTAGCGCCCCCTCGTTTAAGAAGATAGCCAATGTCTAAGTTCCCCATTCCTATCAACCCTGTATACAGAGGGGTTAGGATTAATACTTGATGTGAAGACGCCTTCCCTCTCAGTTGGTATTTTGAGCTACTACATCCATAAGTATAGGTCAAATTATAGAAGTTTACACTCGTTTGTTTCCTTTATCAAAAAAATTTTTTTAATCTTCCTCTAGTCGAGTTCTTGTTATCAAGCCATCGAGGCTAGGTCACATGGGTACTGTCTGCAAGTTTGAGCGTTCTTGTGCATCTCCCATCACTTCACATCAGCTGGATGCTTCATTCTCAGCTCTAGCACTCTGTGGCTAGGTCCTTGTCCATGGGCTTAGGAGTCCCCAGGTCTTACCACACTTCGGACCAACCAGCCCTCCTGTTCTCTCTCTTATCTCCAGCTCGATAGGAGTCTATGGAATGTGGTTGAACTCAGCCCATATCTTCATTTCTGCCTTCCCACCTCTTCCTCTCACCAGGAGACCAAGATGGTCGCCAGTAAGCTTACATGCCTGCTCATGTGTTCTGTTTGAATTTTAGTCTTAGAGGGGGGTTTGTCCTGAAAGGACTTGATTGCTTTCCCTGATGGTTTCGCAGAGAACAACTTGCTTGTTCTTGTAGTAGCCAATCAGACTGCCATTTTTGCTTTGATTTTTCCTGCTGGTCTTACTTTCAAGAAGTATCTGCTGTTCTTCTAGGTGCTCCAGGCTGGTCTGCCTGTCCTTTCTAGTGGGAATGTCTCAGCTCAGAAAGTTCTGGATGGGACTCAGGATTCCATTTAAGGTCCTATACACTACAATGTTTCCGCAAGAAGCCTATTTCTCTGTGCAAGTTCTAGGACCCCTTTTAGGTATTCCAGTGAGTTATAGGCTGAAGACAGGCTTTAAGCTCTCTGTAATAATGTTTTCTGATACTCCTTTCTATTCCACTCAAGTGTATATTCAATGGTAGTAGGCAAGGGTAACCAATATTCTTAAGACAGTCAAGCATCTTAACATTATTTCCCCTCTTTTGCCCATTGATTCCTGTGTTCCAGAGTCCTGTTGTTCCAAGGTTGAACATACATCGCTGCTTACCTCTGACCCTTTTAGCCTGGCAAACCTGCCTGTTTCCCTATCTACCTTGTTCTTCCACTCCCCTCCTCTTTTTTGTGTATTGCTCTCCCCAGCCCCTGAACTATGATGTTTCTATCCCGTAACCTGTACTCTACCCCGCACTCCCTCCCACCCCTGGTAACCAACAAAAAAAAAATTTTTTTTTTTTCCTTTTAGTATGGCTGTCTTTTCATAAGCTTTTACAACAGTGGTCTTATGCATATTTGTCCTTTTGTAACTGACTAATTTCACTCAGCGTAATGTCCTAAAGGTTCATCCATGTTACGTGGTGGTTTGCAGCTTCATTGCTATTCTTCAGGGTAGCATCGCATTCCATTGTGTGAATGCACCAGAGTTGTTCCTCCATTCTGGCACTGGTGGGCCCTTCGGCTGTCTCCATCTGTTTGCTGCGGTGAGCATGGGTACGCAGGTGTCTACTCCTGTCCTGCCTGCCTCCCTGTTGGTCTGTGTACAGGTTCCTCATGAGCACAATTATGTATGTCAGAATACCCACTCTTAGTGTTGTCCATTGTTTGTTTTAATCCACAGAGTGGAAAGCCTTTGCATTGTCAATAAAGCAAGGTCAGTATCTGTCTGGTGTTCTCTGCTTTCAGCCTAGATCCATCTGACTTGAGGAATGATATCCCTGGTTCTCGTCCTCTTCTGAATCTGGCTGGAGTTTCTGGCAGCTCCTTGTCAGTGTACCACTGCGGCTGACTCAGAATTACCTTCAGCAACATTTTTCTTACCTGTAATCTTCAACCTGTCTGATGATTTCTGCCTTGTGTTGGATCGCCTGTTGATGCCCTGTGAATGCCATGCCTGCTTGCCCTCCTCCGTGAACACAGTCTAAGCTTCTTTTCATGTTATTCTTTGGATTTCTTTACTGGCTCGTTGGGTTACAGAGCTTCTGTTGGAATTCACAGTAGAGAGGAAGTCCTGGTGTGGCACTGTGGGCTAATACACAGGATTGCAAAGTCCGTTTGAACTGCAGGATCAGCAGTTCAGGCTCACCAGCTGCTCCTTGGAAACCCTATACAGGGTCGCCATGTGTTGGAACCAACTTGACAGCACTTCAGGGCAACAAGAACAATGTCCTTGGCAGACTAGTATGTGATGGCGCCACCCGCAGCTCTGATGTCAGTATCCCCTACCCTCTCATTTTCCAAATGAATTTCTGTCACAATAGTCCTTCCTTAGGCCTGCTGCTACTTTCAAATATGCTCCTGGCCCCTGGGCTACTGAAATCCATCTTCGATAGGCATTCTGATTTCTTCAAAACCAAATTCTTTCCCAGGAGCTGTCCTCTTTGAACGCTTTCACATCTGACAATACTGACTCTGTCTTCCACACATCTTTTCCTAACCTTCATGACCTACCTCTTGTTGATTTTTTTCTACTGGCATTTGTATCACCATTTTCCCCGCAATCATTCTCTTTCTTGTCCATGAGTGTTTGTAGTATTTTATCAGCGTATTCA